CCCCAAAACCCCAAAACCCCAAAACCCCAGTGTGTTAAAACTTATTGTAAACCCTAAAATAGATTAAAAATGAAAAGTATTAATTTTTGGTCTTTCAAACCTATAATACCAGGGAAAATGTATGCATAAAGTCTTGAGAATCTCTAATTCAGAACTTTTAGTGACTAATTAAATATTTCTTCCTGTCTCTGGTGAGGCACAATGCTACTGCCTTATTGTGGTAGATTGTTGCTGTTAGATGCTGGTCTTATGTCATTAACCAAAGCTAGCATATCCTTAAAACCTGTTCAAGCGTTCTGATCAATCTCTCTTCTATCTCTACAGATAACTCTTGCTATTTCACCGCTCGAAGGCTTAGAGCAAAGATTGTTGAAATAAATAGAGTACTTCTTTCTCTTTTTCTTCCTTTTCAAGTCGTTTTTAAATTCTGCAAGGTCTGCATCTGGATGATCTCCTATTTCATCGGTTGTCTTAATAAGGTCTTCCTGGTCTGAATCATCACTATGAAGACTTTTTAGATTAAATCTAGTTTTTAGGAATCATGGAAATGAAGTATTGATTGATCAATTATAATATTAACAAGAGTGTAAAGTCTCTCTTGTCTTTTCATCTCAATTATACAGCCCTAGACATAAGTCTTTGCTATTAAGCTATCCTTTGTTTAAAAAGTAAGGTTATTTCCCAAATCTGGAGTGCAAGAATCCCTACAAATTTCCAGACTCTGACTATTTTCTCTATGTAAAATCTTTCAAAAAAACAGAGAGCAAAGGTTATTCCAAAAATCAACTATTTTCCAGGACCACTGCACTTTCAAACCTTCGGTTCATTTATAACAATCTAAGAAAATACTTTCTATTTCTCAGAAGTGAACGGAATGTACGATTTTAGAGATCGAAATAGACATTTTACAGCCAGATTCACTGCTGGATGAACCTTACATAACCTTATTAAGAATTTAGAACAAAAATGATCTTTTTGAATTGCCTTTTACTTGGGTCTTTAAGCGACCTCAAGTTTATTCAAGCATTTAGAGTCTAAAATGTAGCAGGTAGTCCCTTCCACTCTTGGCTGATGATTTATGGCAAGAATTTGGAAAATAATTCATATATTGGCCAGAGGGAATTTAATTATGGAAGTTTTAGATCAGTATATTTACTATTTAGGTTGAAATGTATGATAGGTTTATTAAGAATTCTAAGTTCTTAACCCGGTGTTAATATTCCTACCTATATTTATGTTCCCTCTTTTTCATGTATCTTTCTTCAGAAAGCATTGGATGAGTCTTCCTGTTTTTCGGAGATTTGTAATCATAGAAAAGTTTCATCTAAATGGATTATGAAGAAAAATTACTCCTAAAAGTGGCTGTTTCTCTTGGCCTGGAGAGCAAATTCTGTAGTTTGAAGCGTTGTTCTGGCGTATTTTCTGTTTTTCCACCATGGAAGCATGCTTAGTATTGATAAATAGTCCAGGAGAATGCTGCATTAAAGCCTTTTCCAAGATGCTCTTCTTTTTGATGCTCTTCTTTTTGAAGTTCTTCTTTAGAGCAACTGGAGATTCTAAATTCCAGAATTAGAATCAATAAATCTTAATTATTTAACAAAATATGAAGTTCTAATATAGCACTTACAGTAAGATTGAAGTTCTTTCTATTCTTCTTTGCCGTGTTTGAAATATTGAAATCGTTATTATCCATCATTAAGCAGCTGCCTTCTAAATATAATGATAAAATAACTAGTTGCAACCAGAATATTTCAGGGAACGGTTTGGATTTTTCGTCAAAAATCATTTGTCTATTCATATAAACTCAGACAAATAAGGTGCTATTTCTCATAAATTTTAAGCGAAGTAGGATCTCTTCTTCATCTTACCATTTCGTGTCACATCCGGACTCACAAATCTAGTGGAAGGTTTTGGTTTGACCTTTGGCTTAGTCGGACTATTCTTCTATAACACCAGTTAGCAGTGAATTTAGAATAAATTCTGAATAAATCAGCTCTAAAAGTAAGCTGACTTATTTCTAATTCCTGAGTAAATCAAGTTGGCTGTTAAACTCTTCTTAGAATATGAGACTTTTATATTTCGGAATATTCACAAATTTGTAGCCTAAATGTCCAAAATTGTTTTTGAAATCCTACTAGAGATCCTTAAAAGTAGAAATTATTTATACTTGGCAGAAATTGGTGGTGTGTATTATGAATCTATTGAGCTAATTTTTTCAGATTTCAACTAATTTGCCAGACCCAAAATCCTCGCACTGGAATGATGGTTTACCCATAGATGCATAAGTGGCAGACTAGTGGCCAATTTTTGCTTTAAGATTGCTTTCTTAGTTATACTTGTTAATATAAATGAACAGCAGGAAATTTTAGAAATATTCATAATTTCTTATACCTCAGAACACCTTTTAAAGCAAGCATGATTTGGTCTATCGGATTTTAATATTCTTAACTTAAAAACTCTATTAGTTTTCGTAAACATTTAGGAATTCTGGTTATGGCAATAAAGCAAGTCAGGGTCGTAAAATTCATGACAGACATATCCTGTTGAGAGAGTCAAAATATAATAATATCATATCTTTCCCAAACAATTTTTGTTCAGATTGAGTTTTAATACTTTAATACTAATTTTCTATTCAAAAACGTGATTGCTGATATGGGATCTCGGTGAGCACGAAGAACAAAATTTTAAGTACTAGATACCTTACACACTAAGAGTTAGGCTGAGGCCTTTTGAATCTGAAATTTAGTATTTAGCTAAAAATTTGGAACGATTTAGGTAAAGTTTTGAGAACATAGTAAATATTAAAAAATTAGCTCAACGATATGCCCACTACTTGCGCCACGGTTTACTTCTAATTAAGAAGTCATTGAATTTTCCAAAATTAGTCCCTCTCTGCTGAACCAGTCATTATACAAAAATAGGTAAATACTCTATTAGTCTTAATGCCATTTCTGCTATTATATTTCATAACTTGTAAAGAGTAACTCTTAATGTTAGTTTTTAACAACATGCGAATGAATTCTTCTAAGAAAAAGTCTATTTAGATTAACTGATTTCAGGTTTTAGCTCTTACCATAAACATTATATATAAAAAGAGTGTAATTTATAATTTGAGACTAGCTACATCGCATATAAAATCTGTATAATCTTGAAAAAAACAGAGGGTTATGAATAACTGAAAAGAAGATAATTTTGTGGTCAACTGGCAGCTCAAGTCCACCATTTTATACAATCACTACAATAAATAGAATCAGAGAAACATTAACTCTAGCCTTTCTTAATATTTAGAGTTTGACAAAGAAATTTAGTGGTTTATCTTATCTAGATATAGAAGATACATTAATAATGATACTTTATTTCAGTTTTTAGAGCTTAAAACTAATGAAATCTAACAATAGACAAGCATATTCACTGAAACATCCATGCACTGATATTTTCAGACTTCTGGCCTATTTCTAGAACGCAGTTATGAAAACTTCACCTAATAAATTACTTATGAAACCTTATCATAATTGTTCAGACCAATTATTGTACGAACAAGGGATGGATAAGTGGGATCAATCATAGAATTATGAAGCCTATCGATAAATGTAGGTCTCATTTCTTATTTATCTTGTATATCAATGATAGTTCTATTCTTCAAGACGTGAATTTTTAAGCTAGCTTGGTGAAGTTCATACTTCCAGAAACAGGACTAGCTCTATGATTTAGTCAGGGAAGAATACCCTAGTGGCTTATAGGCAATGTTTTATTAACATAACTAGAAGAATTATAACAAGCCTAATTAAAGCCTTTTTGGGATTAATGTCTAAGGTTTATATAAATCGAGGATTTGAGAGAAATTTCATCAGAGAACCTTGCTTTTACCTTTATTAGCCCAACATGTGGTCTTAAAGTTACCGAAGTTGGAGAATTACACCCATTATTGATTCTTCTTCTAGGCTTGTATAGTTTATCCTTGATGTCCTTTGTAATAATAGTCTGAGGGAACTTTCTCTCACGATTCTTGACAAAATTAGCAGGGTTATACTTTCGCTTTTGAGTATTTTTCAAAGTAGTTTTGCTAATATCTGGCAAAGCATATTGTACTCGTTTTAAATCCAATTGAAACCCTTTCAAACGATCCCGATTTCTGACTCTATTTGGACTATTTCTTTTAACAAAAGTAGAGGCTGCTGAAGGTCGTGCGCTTCTTTGTGCAAATTTTTTCATCTTTTTTGATATTATTTCAATAATTTTAGAATAATAGGGGTTTTGGGGTTTTGGGGTTTTGGGG